AGTTCCTGTTCTTAGTTAGCATGTTGGTCAGGGTCTTCGGCAGATACCCAACAAGAGCATGCATAAACAATCCTTCCCTTCCATCCTTGCAGCATCCAATGACCGTCCTCATCAATTACAAAATCGTTGTGGTAGTGAGTCTTCAACTTGTGCCTTAAAATCTGCATTAGTTCCTGGTCCACTGGCAGTGGTTTGAACCCTACCCTTATATTTCGAACCTGCCACTGCTTATATGTCTCTGGCCTCTGAACCCTCTCTGACCCCTCACATGCTACAACATTCATTACCTCGCGCCCATGAAACTCGTTTTCAATCATCAACCTTGCAGGCTCTTCACGGGGTATAGTAGTATCAAATATGTCATATATTGCAGAGAAATGGAAAAGAGCCTCCCGGAACCTCGAAACAAAGAAGGGAGCATTGTAAGACCCATTAACAACTTGGTGGACAACAATATCAGGGTTCATACTCCTGATTAATTTTAAAACATCATTCCTTGGACAGTCCACTTCTGTTGTCTCATCAAGGAGACTCTCAAACCGGCCATGATTGTTCACTGCAAGCATCTCATTCCTGTCAATCTTGAGGTCCTCCAGTCGGATAGTTTCCCAGTTCTGCACTGCCATGGAGTTGTACTCAAAAGGAACATTAAAGCGCTCGCAATACCTTTTCAAACGACGACCAGTCTCCTCAATTCTTTCTGCCGGCCTTAAGCCACGCTGGGGAAGCTCTATTCCTGTAATGCGTAGCTTTGGAGGTCCACCAGCTCTCATGGAAAGAAGCTGAATAAGAAGTGGCCACTGGAAACCAAAAAGGATACCAAAGTCTACAATATGAAGAGCAGTTGCCTTCTCAGCCATTTTGCAGATCATTTTGTTGGCAAAGACAAATGCTAACTTCTTAAAAGGACAAGCTGTAAAGTGAACTTTGTGAGCATTCAATACATCAGCCGCTGTTGTCTTCTTGGAAGTTAGGGAACCGAAAAAATTCGGAGTTCCAGTTCCACTCCCATCCAAGCGTGCCTCAAGGCCATTGGCAAAATAATGGGCTAGTCTCTGAGACCCGTCACCAAATGGGGAAGAGTTCTCCCTAATCTGCTTTAGTAACTCACCAGCAGTCCTGCGATCAAAAGAAGAGACAGCTTGTGCGCAGAGAGCCAGGAGAGTTCTTAGGTCAATTGTTTCCTTCTTCTTGCCACGTCTTTTTGAACGGGATTTTCCGCCACTAGATTCCTTTGGTTGTCCATTTTTCTGCTGGGCTCCGCTTTCTTTATGCTTGACAGCTTCACTATTCTCTGGCTTACAATAGAGCAGTACCTTGTCAAACAACTCGGATAGCTCACTCTCTTCCACATAAACTGCTGACTGCTTTGTGCTCCTCCCTTCCTCTAAATCTCTGTCCTCTCGTTCATGATTCTTTCTAGCCCTCGATCCATCAGGTGATTGCTGCTTCTCATTCTTCACCTCCTTTTGATTGGGAGCAAATGTATTACTCTTTACATCAATAATCAGTTGATTACCGCTGGGAAGGAACTTGCTAGCTTCCTCAAACCCTCTCTGGAACTGCAAGACAGATTCCATGTCAGTGAACATATTCTGAACCATATATTCAGTGGCAGCGGATCCCAGGAGCCCATTACCCAGGGTATCGGTGGAGTTAACAGAAACCTTTGAAGTCGGTTGGTTTGAATTGGACTGGAAGTGGTGATCACTAGAAAGAGAAGCTTGTAATTGTGGATGACTATGATCTTCAACATCAGAAACCCACGGATTGTCGGTCCCAGTGCTAGTACTAGTGCTGGGGATAGTACTTGAATGGTTATTGCTAACATAATCATTGCTACTACCAGATATAATAGTATCTGGACTCTCCACAAAAGGTTGGGGTTGATTAATTGGTGGAGGATACTGCTCTCCCAAAACTTGATACAGTGATTGTTCAGTGTCTCGTAGAGCCAGTGGATCTTCCCAGGGCTTATCCTGCATGTTCTCTTCCATAAGAATCTGGCTTATGTACTTGAGAACAGGATCTGAGGCTTCACTATCATCGCTGGGAGAGGAAGATTCTCCCTCTGGACTCCAGCCCGTGGTTGAGGAGAACAAGACATCAACAGGGCTAACAGAAGAAGATGAAGGAAAACTAGCAGGTTCTGAATTAGGGAGAACAAATGGGACATCCATGAAACTAAGATCTGGAGATGGAACATTGAAATTGAACCCATTTGTGAGAGTTGTAAACTGATCAGAATTAGGGAAGACTGCATCTTCTCCGACTCCGAAATCATTTATATAATCAGAGAATTCGTTACGATCCATGCCTATCTCACAACCCAAATTCTAAAACGCCATCAAATTCAATCGTTATTTCATGAATTTCAAGAACAAGAAAAACTGAAAGACAAAAACACAATCAACACGCCAAACGACTTAGAAAATTCTCACATTGAGACGACAAGTCCTGCAAGAAAGAAACAACCCTTGGCTAAACCCTCTCAAAAATCAAGACACAGAGTCTAGAGACCCAGATTAATAGAATCAAACACAGAGTATAAAGACAAGGACTTTAAAGACCCATCAAGAACAAATTAACTGAAGTAAAGATAGAAACAGAGGGTGGTCAAAGCGTAGCTTGAACATACTCGGGAGTGAGGAAGATGAAACAAAGAAAGGGGGAATGAAGTTTTTTTTTTTTTGAGGAAGAGAAGTCGCCAACCTTCTCTAGTATATAAACATGAGGAGGAAGGAGAGGAATTTGCCCGGAGAGATTCAAATCAAATCTGTAACAATATTTGGAGAAAGAGAAAGTCAAGAGTAAGATGGATTTTACCGGCTACCGCCTGTCAGGTGAAGGTCATCTGTGGCGGAGTTTGACTGGCCCCTGGTCTTGGATTAGGACAACGATGAATTAACGACGGCGACTAGTGGCACGTCCACTTCATTCATAGTGTTCCCATTACACGTCACGGAGAAAAGTCTAGGAAAATGGAAAAAACCGTCATTAAGCCCTCGAACTTTCTTCATTTACGAGATGAGCCCCTGAACAAAAAGTCATTCTTATAAGCCCTTAAACCTCACGAATTCACGGCTGCTGAATATCAGCCCTCAAGTTAACCGCCACGTTAGTTGCCGTTAAGTTTTACTCAACAGTCGTTATAGTAACCGAAATAATAGCGGATAATTACAATTTAAACCATAAATAGTCAAATTTTAAAAGAAATTAATTTTGGAACTTTAACAAAACAGTAAAGAAGATTTAGTTTTTTTATAATTACTTTTTTTATTATTAAATTTGATTTTCACATGTATAATCCAATTAAATTATATAAATTTATTAAAAAATCATAAATATGTAATACTTAACTTTTAGTTTCAATTAAAATATATTAATATCATAGTTTTTTTGTGATCAAGAGCAAGCTTCACATATGACAAGGTCTAAATAGAGTGAGTGATTGCTTCTCGTATAGAGCTTTTTATCGGACTTGAGTTTAAATTCTCCTATTCTCCAAAAAAACCCTCAACATGTAACCTTATTTTAAAATAAAATAAAATAAAAAAATCAAGTTTCACATATATTTTTTTTATTCTTCTTACTACTGTTGCCAAACATTAATAATGAAAAGTCTCAATTTGTATGTTTTGTGTCCAAATATGTAAAGATCAAAGAAATTTTGCTTAATTAGAGAAATTCACTACCAAATGTTTTTTTTTTTTCTCAATGACTTATGGAAAGTAGTGTATATTTTTCATTTTTTCGCCAGTATTGTAATTCTTAATTTTTCTTTATCGAATTTTGTTAAAATATTAAACCCTCCGTTGTCTTTAAGTAAAATTACACTGCTTTTTTTTTTTTTTTCACAGTACTGATTTCATGTTTTGAGATTTTTTCATAGGGATCTTGATGTGTATGGTTCACAAAAAATTATATGTACAAAAAAAAAAAGCTGGATGAATATCTTCTCTGAATTGGCTTTACCTACATCTAGCACAGTAGCACCCTTCATTTTCTTATCTTTTTATTGTCATTAGCAACTGGGTAAAAATTTTTTAAAGTAAAATAATTAATATATATTTTAATTCCACTTACCTTTTAACATTTGTCTAATTCAATTATAAAAATGTAATACAATATAACATAAGTTAATTTATCTTTAATTTTATATTAAAAAATAATAATTTTTTAATAATGTATTAAATAAAAAGGTATATCATTCAGTGTCTTTTGTTAAAATAGTTAAAGTTTAGGAATTAAATTTATTTCAAATTTAACTAGTTTAAGCACTGAATTTAAACGATCACATTTTTTATTAGTTACTGTAGAATCGATGTCTCATTTAACATGTACGTCAACCGCACCTGGGGGAAACTAACGGTGTCCGCAACATGAGGATTGATTTGCTACAATCGTGAGAGTTAAGAGCTTAAGTGCACGTTTTTTTTGAATTTGGGCTTATCCATTAAAATGGGATAAATTTGAGAGCTTAAGTAAGGGTTTTGCCAAGGAAAATTGACCGCCGAAAAAGGGTAAAGGAAAACCAAATGATTAAGGGCGTTTTATTCTAATTTAATGACATACTTCTTTTTTTTTTTTTGATTAAATACCCTTTTTGGTCCCTCTACTATAGAAAAAAAAGCCCTTTTTTAGTCCCTATACCCAAAAAATCCCCTTTTTTATCCTTACTGTTTGAAATCCGGTCCCTTTTTAGTCCTTCTGTCAGTTAAGTGACAGCATGGCACAATTATCCGTTAAATGTCTTTTTTTTTTTTTCTTTTTAACGGTGACATAAGATTACACGTAGCAAAATTGATGAGTTGGCAATCAAATTTTTTTTCCATGTAATCAATAGGTCTTAAAATAATTAAAAGAAAAAAATCATTGTTTCCCTTTATCTTTTCATTTCCTATTTCTATCCTCATCTTTTTCGCGAACCCAGGATGAACCCAGCTCGCGAGACTGGGTTGGCAACGAACCCAGGCGCGAGCTGGGTTCTCAATCTTTGCCAAAAAAAAATTAATTAATTAAAATTTTGGAAAAGAAGAAAATAGAATCAGATATTTTCTACTGTTTGGTTCCCAAGAAAAAATATTACCGGAAATTCCCACACCCTAGATTATTAGATTCCAGGCGA